CAAGTATCCTCATGGATACATAGACATTGGAAAAATTACAGAGAGCTGGTTTTCAGGCAAAATGGTAGAACTACTGCGGCCACAATTCTGGCAGTTACGGATACAGTTTAATGCAGAATTATGCCATGACCCAGTAATTCCACTCCTATTTATATGCCAAGATAACTGAAAAGAGGTGCCCACAAGAAATTTCCATGAATGTTCACTATTCACAGTAGCTAAAAAGTGAATAATTCAAAACTGCCATTGACTGATGTGTTGATAAACAAATGTGGTAAATTGATAGAATTGGGACGTGTTCACCTATAAAAATGAATGATGTACTGACACATGCAACAACAAGAATGAACGTTGAAAACATCACACCTCGTAAAAGAAGCAGACACAAAAGACCACGTATTATATAATTCCATTTTTATGAAATATGCAGAATAGGTGAATCCATAGAGACAGAAATCATATTAGTGGTTTCTAGGGGCATTAAGAGAGAGGAATTAAAATTGACTGTTTGTAGGGTGTGAGGTTTACTTTTGAGGCAATGAAAATGTTCTGTAACTAGACACTGGTGATAGCTAACACACCGTGTGAAAATATTGTGTCACTAAACTGTACAGTTTAAAATGGTTAAAATGGCAAATGCAAAGTTATATAAATTGTGCCATCACATGCCATTAAAAAATATTAAATTCAACTCCTCTTTTACATTAATTGTTTTAAGGTAACAGAAACCACATTTTAAAGGAACCCACAAAGCAAATGAAGAAAAAAAATAAGAGTTCCTGAGAAAGACTTCTATTGATCAAGGACTGAAAGGAAAACCTGTTTATCTTCTGCACCTGCTCTTCAGTGGAAATTCTGTACTAAGTGTGCACTGAGCTCCTTCTACCGCCAAGTCCACTCCTGTCTTCCAGCAGAGGTTTGTTTGTATCTGGGCTTGAACTGAATTGCCCTCGCTGTATTTCTCACACAGTAATACAGGGTGGTGTCCTGGGATCTCAGGCCACTCAGATTTAAATAAGCTTGGCTCTTGGAGGTTTCCCTCATGATGCCGACTTGGGATTTAAGAGTTGTGCTTCCACACACCTCATATCACACTGACCCACTCCAGCCCCCTTTCTGGAGGCTGGTGGATCCAGTGCCCATCATAGCTGGTTAAAGAGAATCCAGAAATAGTGCAAGTGAGGAAAAGGTTCTGTGAGGGCTTCACCAGGCACAGTCCTGTTTCCTGCAGCTGCAACTTGGACAATAAACCTAGGGATAAGGAGCATCACCATCAGTCAAACACAATGGAAACCCCATGCCCAAGTCCCTTTTCAGAAGTCCCAGAGACACTCACAGCAGGGAGTGGCTACCATGCAGAGGAGCAGCCCCACGACATCCATGCTCTGATGAAGGGCTCCTGGTGGAAGGAGACTGGGGTTGCTTCTCCCAGGGCTGGGCATTCAGCCTGACACTGGGGTCTGCTTTGCATGAGGGAGGTCCCTGAGGTTATAAGTGGGGGAGCAGAGAGGAGGGTGTCTACCTACCCTTTCCTGTGCTGAATGTTTTACCTTTTGCTGCTGAAAGGAAATTTGGAGACAGGACTTCAAAAACTCTTCTTTGCCTCACTGCCTGGTCATCATCCGGTCTCCAGAAAAATATTAAGAGAACTGAAGATGGAGAATGCATAGTTTGACATCACAGAACATGTAGAAATGTTTCAAGTGATTTCTGGTTCAAGGAGAAGTCCATGACCTTTTGACCTTCACGTGCTCCATTCCCATGTCTGGTCTTTGAAACTGATGGTCAGCCAGTGGCCTCAGCCTCTCTGCACACAAATCCCTTATGTGTGACTTCAATGAAACAGTTGTGCTTCTGGAGAATCTTGGAGTTGGTTCCCTTCAGAACAGGCAGACTTTCCTCAGATAGACAGACATGTGTATGTGCATTTGTGGGGGGTGTTTGTGTGTATTTTTGGGAAGAGATAGAGAGACAGAGAGACCTCTGCTACATCCTACTTCTCAGAGACAGTTACCAAGGCAAACATATAGACACGAAATTCCCTGCACTTTTGGAACAACCACATGGGATTAGAAATATTACCATGGAAATTTCTAGAAAACTCCATCTTCCTCAGTCTCATTCACAAATCCTCTGTTCATACTCCTGCCCCAGCACTTCCAACGTCAGCCTTGACTGTCACATCAGACTCAGTCTTGAGTTTCATGATCTCATCACTTGCTTCCAGTCACAGGTGACTCCTTGGTGGCGTTTTCTCAAGTGCAGCTCCTCCTGCATCTGCAGACCAGTGAGATGGACACGCTCTATGTCCTGCCTCCCTTTACCCAATGTACTCTGGTGATTCATGTCCAGGATGACGACTATATACCATCCCATTCACCTGGGACTCAATGGATCACAGCAGCTCTGAATGTCAGTTGGGCATATGGTGCCAGTGTCAGGGTTCTGGTCCATTTTTCTACTGTTTGGTGATGACACTGCATGACCCATGGCTTCTGTCTTTGGGATTCTTGTCCCACCCTTTTTGGAACACTTTCTTTCTCAATTCGAAATTGTTTGTGTTTGCAGTTGATTAATTCTTTTAGTCCTTTTTATTTAAAATGAACTAGAAGAAGTTATAAGTTGTGAAATTGTATTAAAATATATGTTCAAATTGCTCACTTCTGATGGTGCAATTCATGCAGCAGACAGTCCTAGCTTATCACAATAGAAACAATGACTTTGAAATGGAGAAGATGTACAGATAAAAAACAGGGACTATACATTACATTTGTGTAAATCATAAGATTCCACATAAGAAAATGGTAAAGTGATTGGAGTAAATGACATGTTTTCTCAGAGTGTGGCATATAAGAAAAATTTAGACTCAAGTGTAGAATGGTGGAGTAGGTGTAAAGGCAAAGATTTGTGCATTGAAAAGGAAAAGGCAGAAACCTACACAGAAAAAAGAAAACAAACAAACAAACAAAAAACAAACAATGACAAAAAACATTCTCACTCACAGACTTGCTCTGCACCTGCCCCAGGAGCTGGGCCCTGTGGGCAGAGGGTCAGGATTGCCACTCCAGAGCAGGCCTGTGTCACCTTCTAGGGTTCCTGATGCTTTCCCCAGACCAATGTCGTAGAGATTTGCCTCTATGTTTCACTCTAATAGTGCCATAGTTTCAGGACTCAAATGTAACTTTTATTCCACCTTGAGTTGATTTTTGTATAAGGGTGCAATTACATTCTTTTGCATGTGGATATCCAATTTTCCCAACAAAATTTTTCAAGAGATTTTGTTCTTCTCCTTGTGTGTTCTTGGCACCTTTGTTAAAAATCAGTTGAACATAAATGTTTTGTTTTGTTTCTGTGCCCTCTGCACTATGTGTCTGTATATCTATGTATATGTCATCACCAAACTGCTTTGATTATTTTAGCTTTATAATAGATTCTGAACCATGATTACATGATTAACTCAGAGTTATCTAACTCAGAGTTATCTCTGGGATGCACAGGTGGTTCAAAAGAAGCAAGTAAATAAATATGATAAATGCCATTACAGAATGAAGGGGGTAAAACCTATAATCATCTCAACAGAGGCAGAAAAAGGATTTGACATCCTTCAACATCTTTTCAATAACAACAATTTAAACAAATTAGAGATAGACATATTATCCTTCACTATATTAATGTTGATATATGACAATCCCACAGCTAATGGCAAAGTTAACAGTGAAAGTTTACACTTGTTAAACATGGTCAGAATAAGACAATAAAACCTTCTCTCACCACTTATGTTTAACGTAAAACTGGAAGTCTAGCCAGAGCATTAAGGTAATAAAAATAAATAAATGGCATCCACTTATGAAAGGATAATAAAAATTGTATGTTTGCTGATAACATGATCTCATATATAAAAACCCTAAAGACTCAACCTGCTAACTGTGAGAACCAATAAACATATTTAGTAATACTGCATCATACAAAATCAGCACACAGAAAGCAGTAGTGTTTTTATACACTAACATTGAACTATCTAAAAATACATCAGTAAAACAATTCTATTTACAATAGCAACAGAAAAAAAATAATTAAATTCCTGGAAACAAATTTAACCAAATTACTTAAAGATTTGAATATTGAAAACTCTAAAGCATTGATAAAAACTTGTAAGTAAAGGGCAGACACAAAAGTGCAGATCCAGGAAGCCACAGAGCAGCAAACAGGATGAATAAAAGCAAAAGAAATGAAATTCACACACACATGCGCACGCACATATGTACATGTACACACACATGCACACACACACACACACACACACACATAGACACCCATGACCAAGGTGTTAAGTGTTATAAAATTACATGTTCAGAACATACATAATGTGGTTAGGCTCAGAAACGCTTACAAATAAAATGATAAAGGTAAGAATTACAGACGATTTCTCATATGAATCGAATCCAACAAAAATTGAGAAATTTGAAATGTTTAATGTTTTGTTAGCTGGAACCACCACCACCCGGAACTCTCAATTCAGCTGAATGATCCTCCAAGAGTGACGGAGACCACCAACTCCTCGTATCCAACTTCCATCCAGAAAGGAATGAATATTTGATATAAATTGAATAGCACAGCAAGTATAGCCAATAATAATAGATTATATATTTCAAAATAGCAAAGAGTGAATTCCAAATGTCTCACCACAAAATTAAAATGAGGTGATAAATACGTTGATCACTTTGACCTAATTATTCCACGTTATATACATTTATCAAAGCACCACATAGTTCCCCATAATTGAATACATTTATGATGTGCCGTTTAAGAAAACATTAATAAAAAATGCAAAGGAGAAATTGCCTCTCTCAGACCACACAGTGGTGAAGGATCAAGGCGCCCCTCATAGTCATGAACGAGGTGAGCACAGCTGCCAGCACAGCTTCTACTCGACACCTTCAATGTGACAAGTGGATGTAAACAAGCAACAATCATGAGGACACACACACAGTCCTTGACCTTCAGGTGCGACATAAGGGGTCTGGCTTCAGGTCTCGCACGTAAGAAGCTTGGACGTCATCACTCCCATCCAGACAACAAGAAAATGACTGAACAGACTGAAAATCAGTAACTCTTCTTACATATCTAAAAGAAGTGACGTTACAGGGTACACTACTGTCCCCAAATTGAAGATGTAGTCAGGAAGACACAGAGGGTCACAGCTTGTCTGATCAGAAACTCATGAGCAGAAGCCTCTGTGTGGTCCAGGATGGGGGAAGATAAACCAGAGCTGTAGGGGAAGGATTGCTGGAGACTCAGCGTGGGGAAATCTGAGAGTTGGGTCCATCCCAGGGGGACAGTCTTAGAGATCCCAACCTTTTAAACCCCACCTCAGCAGTGCGATGAGGTTCTCAATGAAAATATCATAAAAGAATCCTCCTGCTCCCTGCAGAGAAAGGGGGAAGGAGCCATTGTGAGATTCACCAGAGCAGGATGCTCTGCAGAAAGTCAACCTCAGGAGAAACTAATTTATCTGATCCCAAGAGGTTATTACTTCTTCAGAGCATAACTGACCATAGAGAAGAGAAACACCCAAGTCTATCCCCTTCCCTGAGAGCCTTCCAGTCTCACCTAAGGGCATCATGAAGGGAGAAGCAGCTGTGAAAATCACAGCCAGGACGCGGCTCCCTAAAGGACAGACTCATCATAGGACGGTGCAGAGCTTCCCCTACCACCCACATCACCCACACCTTACACGCAACGTTCTGATCTGACAAGGTGTGACCCTCTGTGTCTTCCTGACTGGATCTTCAATTTGGGGGATAGGAGTTCACCCTGTGACTTCACTTCTTTTACAGATATAAGAAGAGTTACTGATGTTCTGTGTACTAACAGGGAAAAACTACAACACCACATGCACCTTAGACACTATTTAAGAAGTCTCTGAAAACCTAGTCCACAGAGGAGACACAAATAAGGACACCAGGGTACATTTTATCCAGTCCATAGCTTACCTTGTCATCCTCTTTACAGTGACTTTTGCAGAGACAGAGTTTCTAATTAATGGCTCCAGCCCGTCAACGTTTCTTCCCTGCATTGTGCTGTTGTCTCACCTGCATTTCACGTGGTATTTTCTGTTTTATGAAACATTCATCAGCCATAGGTGCCTGCTCAGCACCACATGAGGTCCTTACCTTCAATGATCAGCCTCATTACTGAGCCCCTCATCTGCACCTGCACAGGAGGTGACTTGGTAAGAACTGAGCAGGGCTCTTGACTGATGGAGCTGAGTGTCTAGGGACAACAGATCTAGTAAGAATTTAAACAATGGTAGACAGAGGATGGTATTAGGGCAAGTGTCCAGGATGTCTGTGGGACAGCAGAGAGTGGGCAGGGAACAAGGCTCTGTCCAGTTGGTTCTCAATATCCACAGGGAATCACCCCATGGAACCTGAGATACACAACTTAAGACACAGTTCCCAGGGCTGCTTTGAGAGGCCACACCCAGAATGCAACCAAGCAGGGCTCTGGTGGGTATTTCTCTCTGTGCTTGTCACCCTGATACCTCCACATAGAAGTGGAAGAGTTGTGTCTGGTCCTCAGGCAGCTGCTTCTCCATCCAGGGCACTGGAGGATGGACAGAGAGTGGGACAAATACTGAACATCAGTGTCCACAGTGTGGATGAGGATCCAGAGGACAAACTGCCCCAGGGAGGACAAGGACCCCGTGGACAGAGTTCCTGAGGGATGATCATAACCATGTGGCAGCACGTGTGTATGACTGAGGGAAAGGCTACTTAGGGACACTGTGCACCTGGACTGAGCTAACCTTTAGGGAAAAATATTGTTGATCAGATGAACATAAGAATCCTTACAATGATTTGTATGTCAGGAAAGAGAACAGGTCATGTTCAAACCTGAGAAAAGAAAGGTCCCAGTGAATGGAAACACCTTATCTGCAAATGAGGAAAATTATTTCACTCTGTGTTGCCTGCAGTGAGAACATGGTAATTAGAGTCACAAAGAACAAAGCAGGAAATGACCCTGAGGGTCATCAGAAGTCAGCAGAGCAGAGGAAACCCCAGATCCCAAGAGGAACCCCCATCCACTCTCTGCACCTGCTCCATGGGGCACAGGAGCTGGGTGGGCCTTGAGAGCCTCCTGCACCCCAGTCCCCTCCTTCATCCTGCAGGGAGGTTTGTGTCTGGGCTCTGCTGACTTCCTGTCACTGTGTCTCTCGCACAGTAATACACGCCTGTGTCTTCGTCGGTCACAGAGCTCAGCTGCAGGGAGAACTGGTTCTTGGACGTGTCTCTGGTGATGGAGGTGTGGCTCTTGAGCGACGGGTTATAATATGTGCTTCCACCATAACTAGTGTATCCCATCCACTCAAGGCTCTTCCCCGTGGGCTGGCGGATCCAGCCCCAACCATAACCACTGGTTGTGATGGAGAATCCAGAGACGGTGCAGGTGAGGGAGAGGGTCTGTGAGGGCTTCACCAGTCCTGGGCCCGACTCCTGCAGCTGCACATCGGACAGGACACCTGGAGCCAAGGAAAATCAGAACCTGTCAGTCACGTGCAGTCACAAACATACCATAGACCCATGTGTGACATCTGAGACACTCACCTTGGGGAGCTGTCTCCAGGCAAAGGAGAAGACCCCACAGTCTCATCTTCAATTAGACCTCAACTCTGCCTCCCCAGAGACCTTAGCCCTGTCTGAGCACAGACCTGTGAGCTTCCACCGCCCATGTGTCTGCATTTACCCTGGAGCTTGAAGGAAAATTTGCATGTGGGAGAGCTCTGTCCTTATAAGCGGTGAGGAACTGAGGTGGGAACTTCTGAATTTTTTTTTTTCCTTTTTTGTCTTTTTTCGTGACTGGCAATGGATCGCAACCCTCAGTGTCACGCCCGTACCTGACTGGGACCGGCAACGGGATCGCAACCCTCGGTGTTGCCCCCGCACCTCGCTCAGCCAGTGAGCGGCCGGCCTGTATGTGAGATCCGAACCCTCGGCGGGAGCGTCGCTGCGCTTCACAAGCGGCGCACTGTAGCAGTGCGCCACCGGGCCGGCCCGGGAACTTCTGAATTTTTGATGTGCCTATATTCTATTATTTTCCTAAAATTACTTGACATATAATTATCGGATGTGAAAGAACACTCCAAAATGTGGCCCCAGATTTCTTAGCCCAGATCTACCTTCCTTCTACCTTCTCTTTTGCCTTGTCTTGGTCCCAGCCCAACTTTTCCCACAAACTCAGGCTCTGGTTCGTGCTTTTACAGCTGTGATCACAACACAACCCCTGCTTTCTTTCCCTGTACCCTCTCCTGTCATGTGGTTCTCATCACACATGAGAGCTTGTTACATTGTTACATTGTTGTTGTTCCATGAATTCCAGGCCTGCCTTGTGCTCCTTCCACCATGTGATACAAGACACAGCATGTAGGAACCCACAGGGACTCTGCAAAATACAGCATCCTGTACATGACTCAGGAAACTGATTCACAACTCTTTGGGAAAGACAAATAGACTCTTTTAAATGTCCCCTTCCCAAGGTAAATCCTGTGCTTCTAATGTTTTCAAATTTTCAACAGAAATTCAGTTCTCACCCTTAAATTATTGATGTAATTCTTTAATTTAGTCCTACAATCTCATTAGAGATCTCCACTTGTGAATATATCAGTCATAACGGTTAACATGCAAGCAGTAATAAAATCCCTAATATGAAAGTTTTAAAAACACACTTCCCTTTGATGTCTCTGTGTTGGGGCCCATAACAGCCACTCCATGACTGTGGTCACTGCCCTCTGAGATGCCGCCCACCACAGAGAAAGAGGCCAGGGGCTGTGCTGGATGCTGTGCTGTGTCTACTCCTGTGAGCCCCCTCTCAGTCCCAAGAGCAGGTCCATGTCATGGAGGGACAGCCCTTGAAGGCTCCTGAATGGATTATAAGTCAGGAGCTGCTGATGGACAATTCGGGGCTGATTCTTCAGTTCTTGTTAATGCATGAATTTTGCTGGAATTTTACCAAAATGGTAAAAGACCTGATAAAAGACAAAGGAAAACAAACACAGTGAAATCAGAAAGCAAGGATAAGAACCAGGGTAAAATATGACACAGATTTTGGAATTATCAGAGAGGAGATTTAAAATAACTAGGTGTATGTGCAACTCTGTTTCGGTTTGTTTCTAAACCTTCAGCTGGCTCTACAGAGCCCCAGCTGCCCATGTCGATTTGCCCAGGATAGTTTATCAGGATGTTCTGCCTAGTGTAGCAAACACTGCAGCATCTCAGTGGAATAAAGTTTCAAGAACAAATATCTACTGTTTGCTCATTTCTATTCTAATGTGTTCAGGAGGGAAGTTGCGGTGAGAAGAGGTGTCTGATTCATAAAGTCACTCAGGAACCCAGACTCCCACTGGTTTGAGACCAGGAATCTACAGCTTGTGGACTGATGCTTAACAGAAAACAGAAGGAGAGGGAATGTGAATTTCAGGCGGACTATTTTTTAATTGTAAAGACACCTACCATGAGCTCTTCTCTATTAACACATTGTAAGTGCACAATACGGTATTGTTAACTGTGGGTGCAGTGTTGTAGATCAGATCCCCAGAACTTGTTCATCCTGTGTAACTGAAGCTTTGTACCTGTTGAACTTTAATTTAATTAGCCAGGCTGTGAGTGTGTGTGTTATATCTGTGTACATTTCCTTTGTCTTAATTAATCTTACGGTCCTGACTTGCATCAAAAGATCAAAAATGTATGTTATCTGTCATCTCTGCATGGAAGAGGACAACAGGTGTTCAAACACACTAACCATGTGTCACCTGAGTCTCTCTCTCTCTCCCACCCCTACACACACACACACACACACACACACACACACACACACACACACACACACATTCACCATTGGTCTTTTTGGAAAAATCTAACTTGAACGATGCCTCTGATTGATGCTGAGAAATTCCTTGTAACATACACAAATGTGAAACTTCACAGCCCTGTTCTGAAATATGTCACCGTGTAGAGGAAGAATCTCCTAAGGTACAGATTCAGCAGGACAGCCCTGTGTGTTGTGGAGAGTGAATCACCGCTGTTCCTTGTATCATAATTATCCTGCTAGTCTCATATGCATGTTGCATATTAACTTGCAGTAGGAGTGTTTGTGTTCTGTGAATGGATCTATTTTTTTAAATTATTTTAAGAAAAAATAATATTAAAATTCATTAAGCAGGACTCTCACACCACTGAATGGATAAAATATATTCAAGAAAAAAATGTATTATATAGAATGTCAGAGAAGTGAGAAAAATACTAGCAGAGACAATTTTATTATGCTTTAAATGAAGCAATATTAAACACAATGAGTATACAAATAATAACCATAATGAGTAGTATTGATATGTTTAATGAATCACTATGCAAATCTAAGCAACAACAAAAAATAAATAAATTACTAAACAGCAATGGCATTGGAGACCAACAGAGAGTTGAGTTGAGATTTTAACTCATGGATTTAGAAATGGTCGGGATCAAAATTCTGAGCATCACTAGACTTGGATCGGACACAGATTTGTAAGTTATTCTCTTGTGAAACACAAATATAGAAGAAATAGAGAGAGAGACAAGGGGTGGGAAAGAGAAAACTATCACAGTGAAAAAAGGTAAAATGTTCAAGAACCAGACCAACAAGGCAAGGAAGAAAGGGGGTCATGGATTGAGAATAACCTTAGAGATAAAAAAGTAACACAACCCACCACGTCAAAATGTGCAAGTAACTGTGTTAAATTTATCTGTCATGAAAAGGAATGAAGTTCGACCATGTACAACAACAATGGATGACCTTGGAGAAAATGATGTTGAGTGAAATAAGCCAAGCAAAGGGGAAAATATACCCCATGTTCTCCATCATAAGTGAGAGTTAAGAGAGAACAAAGGAAGGAAAGAAAAGCCACAGGGGTGCATTGGTCTTGCAGAGGGACAGAGCAGGCCTGAGGTTACGGAATGGGGTGGAGACAAGACGGAGAGTGAAGGACGTCAGGGATTAATTGGGTGGAAGACATGAGGAATAATCACGATTCATAGTAATGGGCATGCTAATAGTATTGATCCGGCAACCACATTTTGCCGCAAGTGCCAACAGTAAGCTTTGTGCCCTAGAATATTCATAACCTATAAAATAAAATAGAAAATAAAAATATATTGAATAAAAGAAGTAAAAGGCAAAATGAGAGCTTCTATTGCAAAAAGTGCATGCGTGTAGCAATATTTGCAGTGCAAGTTTGTAAGTATTTGAATGTAAGATGGTTGGGAATGCATGACCTGAAATCAGCAATGAAAATACCTGTCGGAACAAAGCTGACATAAAAACACAGATGTTATGATGAGGCTTTATTGAAGTTCAATTATGTCCGAAGATAATGCCCTAAACTGCATGGCTGTGGTACTTGGTAACAAATCAGTCACCACGTTAATACTTTGCTCAGGGTCTTCCCATCAGACCTTCTAACCTGGGATAATCCAATTCACCTTCAAATGTCACAGTGTCATGAAGAAACTAGTAAAAGGTTAAAAACACTCAGCGACACTTTTAACTTCCTCTTTAATTACAAAAGTGAGATTGACACTGGTTGATTTTTTATTAGTGTATTACATTGTCAGCACTTGGAAGTTCACATTCAATATTCCTGATAAATTTAGAGCATGACTGTGTTTAAAGGGAAGGCACAAATGATTGTTTAAAAATGTTTCTGCTAATGCTGACACTCAATTGAAAGGACAAACACACCCTGCTGTCCTGTGTCCAGGTTCTTAAGTAGAAAACCCAGCTCATTTGCTTATGTAATTTATTAATTTTTCCCTAAAAGGGTTTTCATTGCAAAGTTCCTATCTCCATTGTGCTTCAGGGCTGTTTCCAAATTTTCAGGCTTAGAGATATTTGTATGTGTCCTCTGACCACTGAGGACACCAGGGATGATGGTTTTGACCAGAATGCTCAGCTCATTCCCTGTCTGTTGTCTGATTCCTGCCACCCATGGGACTGTCCACCTCAGGGCTCTGCAGCTGGTGAGGCAAACTGGATGTCATCTGACACCATGTGTGTGAGTTGTGAGAGGTGTCCTGGGATCAGCAGATGCTCTGTCCTTACAGAAAATCGGTTTTCTCAAGAAAGCTGCTTGATGGCTACAGACAATTTCAAGTTAATATTAGATAAATGTTTTTTTTTTTTTTTCACAAATAAGTGAGAACATGAGGGATTTCTCTTTCTGTGCCTGACTCATTTCATGAAGATAAAAATAAATAAATAAATACACAATTAAACTGTGGGGAGGAGAAGACATGACAATTACAATTCCTTGAAGTTGTTACAACAAGCGAACAGATATGAGGTTGTTGGGAGGGGACGAGACAGGGAGAAGGCAGGTTTTGGTAATGGGCCATAATAATCAACTACATTGTATATTGATAAAATAAAACAAAATTTTTTAAAAAAATGTTTCTATGAATCACCTCTACTTGATATAGACAAATTGGTTACTATGTTAAATCAGCAGTGGTGGTGAATCTTTTCAAAGAGAGCTAATATTGTTTTTGGTCATATGTAACTAGTCAACAAGATAATCCTGGGAATTTTCTGAACATGGAACATGGCCATGAAACAAAACTTAA